CGGAGAGGGGGGAAGTGTGCGTGTGCGTGTCTGTGTGTATACATCCGCAGTCAGGTACGGACACTTCTTGATTTGAATGGTCCTTCGGCATCCATGAGTACCCTTCAGCCCCTGCCTCCTCACAGACAGCACCCCCTGCTTGTCCTTCCCCCCTCGGGTCCAGCCAAAACTGGGGAAGTCCAGTCACCTGGCTCAGCCTTCCCCAGAGGAGGCTGCAGGAGAGGGGCTTGCATTGGCGCTTCTCGACCAGCAGAGGGCCCTGGCCCCAGTCAACCCAATCTCTGTAATTCAGAGCCAAAGAGGATGTCCAGGCCGGGCCATCTAGTCAACCGCCCCACCCGTCCCCGGCCCCTTCCCTTTCTGGATGGATGGTCAGGCCCCCGCACAGAGACCAAGTCCGGGCCAGGCCATCTTGGCTTGCCAAAGTGTCAGCGTATTGAAAGGCTGGAACAATGTGTTTTCTAAGGAGTTTTTGTTTCTTTGTTTGTTTGTTTTTGTTTTTTTGTGGTTTTTTTTTTTTTGTTTTATTTTTTGTGTGTGTGTTTTTGTTTGTTTGTTTTTGGTCAGATGTCACTTTAATTGGCTAGAAATATAAAACCTGTCTTTGGAGACTATCAGGAGCCACATTTGGAAGAGAAGAGAAAGCAGAGGCACCGCACTGAGGGCCCAGGGGAAACAACAGGCCGAGCAGGTCAGCGATGGCTGAAGGATCCTTGAGGATGGTTATATTTAAATGGCTTCATCCTGCTGGGACCCCTGAAAAGCCGCAGACACGTCTTCTCCTGGGGAAACTCCTTGGGCCCCTCCATGCTGTCATCATGGATCTCGGTCTCCAGGTAGACGTCTAGTAGCACACACAGGCGCTGCAGCTGGTTGGTCAAGAGCTGATGGCCGGGCCGGGGCCCACACAGCTCCTTGTAGCACACGTTGGCCTCGCTCTCCATGGCCCGAATATTGTCAGCATTGCTGTTGGTTTTCTCCCCTTTCCAGTTCAGACAGAGCTGGAAAATGAGTGGGATAAAGGAGTAGCCAGGGTTCAGCACCACAGCTGCCTGGAGTTTGGCTGTGCCCCATTCCACGAGGGCCATGTAGTAGAGATTGGTGTGCGCAGCCAGTTCTGCCTCCACAGTGTCTTTGATGAAATGCAGCTCCACGTAATCCACATGGGCAATCGTCACCCACTTCACCAGGCGAGAGACAACCTTTGCAGGGAAGAGGTAGTGGCAATCGCTAGTAACTGGTACAATGCTGTATTCCAGGGACGCGAACTGTTTGTGGAGGGCCAGGCGGGACTGTACTCTGGTCTTTAGCAGTTTCATGGTGGTCAAAGAGGACATAGAGGGGAGGCGGCAGGTGTTTGGCTGTCTCCTATTGTTTGTGAGCCTGGTGGAAAGGCATGGACAGGTACTCTTGCACCGGGAGGGAAGCCTGCATGATGCTGTTCAGGAGAGGCTGGAGGCTGCGCAGGTATTCCTTCTTCACTTCAATCTCCTTAAGGATCTTCTCCTTGTTGGAGAGGGACTCTCGGTACTTCTCCGCCAACCTTTTCCGCTGCTCCAGCTCCCAATGCAGACGTGCAAGGGTTTGCTGGTGAGGGTCTCCCATGGTGATCTCAGCCTTGCTGATATCTGGAGGAGCCTCTTGATAAAACTCCTCTACACTGACCAGATCAATTTCTTCATGCTTTGACCTATAGACAAAAACAAATGTCAAATTGCCATTCTTAGGCACCCAAACTGTGGCTTAAGCAGGCTCCCAGTTCCTCCCCATGTACACCCACTTTGCCCAGGTCTATAGCTACGCAGGGACACGCCTCACTCCAGGGCCACTGGCTCTCCATGGGCCTAGTTCCACTGCATTTTGGGTTTATCAGCTTCCATCTGAGCAATGGTTACGGGCTGGGCATCGCATTCTTTTCCCCTTTGTTTTTATACCTGGAGTGAGGGTATATTTCCTCCACATACCTTTCCCCTCCAATAACAATCTTATCTAAACAGTACCAAGTCAAAACCAGGAAAGTGGCAATGGTACAATACTACTCAGACCTGATGTGGATTTCACCTCTATTAGTATTTAAGTATTACTATGTGATGAATTTGTGGAGCAGATAAAGATTCCTCAAAAATCATCATCATTATTAAAAATAAACTAGACCCAATGTCTAACGTGCCCACTCACCGCAAGTTTATTACAAATAACACCTTTCAGTTGGCACAAATGGGTCTGACCAAGCAAGAACATGCTCCCTTCTCTACTACTCCTTCCTACCTTCTCATCTCTCACCTTGGATTTGCCAAGGGGCATTATTACATTTAGAAAGAACACTGCAAATTCTTATTTGTTCACCAAAGGCAGCTAAGCAGCAAGAAATCCCGGTTTGCAAAAATCAACTGCTGGAACTTAGAGATTAAAACTGGGCCAAAAGGTTAAAAGGACATGACTGGCCAAAACCCTGCAGACTGAAGGGTCCCAGGTTCGATACCGGTCAAGGGCATATACCTTGGTTGCAGGCACACCCCCAGTAGGAGGTGTGCAGGAGGCAGCTGGTCGATGTTTCTCTCTCATCGATGTATGGGAGCGGGTCCTGGGGGTGGGCGGAAGAGGGGGTGCAGTTGAGGATCAAGCGATTCTCTCTCTCCGGTTCCTATTAGAAACGGCCTACTGCTCCCAGGAGCATCTGATGTCCCTCGCTGGCTACCTCTGAACCACGAACTTCCTTGCTTCACGAAGGGACTCTGTCTCAGAGCTTCAGGTGGCGGCCGGCCAGGGGCACTGCAGCCCGCGCACCATCCAGAAGCGGAAGGAAGGCCCATCTATATCTTTTTGAAAAAAGTCTCTCTCTCCCCTCCCACTCTGGTGTTGGCTGTCTTACCAACAAAGCCCTGGGCTGCAGTGAGGGAGACTTATATACACCGAGGCGGGAGGTCTGAGCCAATCAGAAGACACGCTAGAGCCGCTCGCCCATTCCTGCGGTGTGATTGGTGGATTCCCGGTGGAAGAGGCTGTCCGTGGCTCCGCCCCCGCCTGCCAGCCCCAAACAATCTTCACCCTGAGCTCCAAGGAGCAAAACCGCTCCCCAAGTCGCTCTCCTTCCCTCTCTCCCATCCGGG